TCAAACCAATGTAAACAAAGACGACGTTTTCTCAAAAAAAAATTATCTCCCAGTATTCCATCACATCAAAGAGTCAAATTTCATATTTTCTGGATGCCCCCAAATGTAATCAGGAAAACAGAGCAAACAGATAAATGTACTGACAGTGAATACTTCATTTAAATCATGTCATATCTTCAGACGCACACAATACTCAAAGATGCAAAGTAAAACTGCACAAACAAGCTGTTTTGTTTTTAAGAGAATGTTTAAGGGGGTTTTGTAATCAAAGGATAATTAGTGACATCACTGGAATGAACAGTCTACTGATTAACTAGTGATTCATGCTGTGTTCTCATCAACTTGAAAGCCCAGGTTAAGCTGGTTGAAGCGTGGCAACATGTCCCAACTGGGAAAGAAGATGGGACCGAGACTGAAGAACCAAAACGAGTGTAAGGGCCACACACTGCTGGGAGCCAAGCACGCTAGCCAGATGACTCACAAAGTGACAGAAACAGCGTTCCACATGAACTCCCAAAGCCTAGGCCCAGGGAAAATAAAAGAAAAAATATAGATAGACAGAAAGATTCTGTTTAAGCTAACTAGTCAGTATCTTGTGATTGCCAAAAGTAAAATGTAATAAAACAAATCACGTTATATGTTCAATCAACTTTCTACTAGAAACCATTCCAGGAAAGGAATTTATTTTGTGAGACTACTCTTGATCTCTGCCTAACCCCATCTTTATTTAAAATACATCATTATCTAACAGATTTAGTTGGTAAGTTAAATGCTTCAACAGAATAGATCACAAAACTAAAATACTAATAAAATCTGTTTCCCTAAAGAAAATGTACCTTGTAATATTTCTTTTATGACATGACTAGAAAGAAGAGCTCTTTTATTAAAACAATGAATAGTTTACCTAATAAATTCCATATTTAAATACTCCATTATTCCCTAGATACCAGACTCAAGATTTATGTCTACTATACTTTAAGCTTATTTATGAAAGAAATACTTCCAAAGTTTCCATAATATTACATTGTGATAGAGATTGTTTCCAATTGTAAAAGCAAAGTATCAATAACAGTAATGGATTTTTATACTTAATAAGTAGAAGTAGAAAAAAAGTCCATGTTTCCTCATCCTACCTAATTATCCTATTATCCTATAATACAGTCAGTATCTTCTGTCTTATTCTTCCTATCTTTTTTTAACATTTTAGGCCTGCTCTTTCAACAACTTCTGAAAATATCTGTGAAGAATCTACATGCGTCAGTACATTTTAAATGTCTAAACAGTGGAAAATGTGGCTTCAACTAATACCACTTATATGTGTATAGTTTAAAAATGCTTTCGTGTATGTATATATTTCAACTAAACAAAATGTACTAATAGTACTAATACACTAAACATACTAATGTAACTATTTCATTTCTGATTTGACAATTACAAACTTATATGTTTTTGCATGATTACTGAATGCCTAAAATGAGCCAAGAAAATGCTCATATTCCACTAAAAGTTTTAAGTCCATGTCTCAGGGAAAAAACTATTTATGGTCATTAACCTAAAAACACTGTATGTATGTACTATACAAACAACTTCCAACTTTTATAAAGAGGTAAATCTTCAACAATTTCCAAGACAGCAAAGTTTCTCAGTGGAGAGAGATGGTCTCTCTCTAAAACTGTAACTCAGTTACCTGCATACAACACAATATAAACCAAGAGGGAGAGAACCAGAAACTTCTAAAGTGTTCTAAGCACTAACACATTTGCATCATACGCTCCTCCTGTCATTCTCATAACTGCGTTCCCACCAGACCTCAAAGCTCTCCTATTTAACCTAGCTCCACGGACTGGTGTCCTGACTAAACAATGCTGGGCAGCAAGGACTACAGCCTAAGTCACTGGAGACAAGAGCAATCCTAAAAGAATTGCCTTTACTCTGCTGGTGCCAGAACATTCTGCTGAAAGGCTCCTCTGCAAAGGGCTGGGTGTGGGCCCTGGCTAGCTGACTTTACAGACCTACAGCTTCCACAGATTGCAATGCTGACTGAAGTTTTTATGGAACATACTCATCTTCATTTTCATGAAAGGAAAAGGCAAAAGATATCTCCTGAATGGCTTTCACATCTCTCCACTTCTCTCCATTCTCCCTGGCCACTATACAGGTGTAGGCCACCATCATCGCTGGCCTGGATTACCCTTCCTGACAAATCTTCTGTACTTCAAAATACACTGCGTACATACATACACCACATTCATACAGACGCACACAATCATACTCGCACACCCAAGTCACTCTCAAGATCATCCAATAATCTTTCATATTAAAGTAAATCATGTCACTACCTGCTCAAAGTTCTTCAAGAGCTCCCAGTGGACTCAGGATAAAGTCCAAAGTCCTAAGCATTACCTATGGGGCCCTGTATCACCAACTTCTTTCACCATCTCAGCTTCATCTCTAGCCAATTCCCCTTCACAATCTACCAATCGACCTCAATGAACTTTCAGTTCCTCAAACTTGTAGTGCTCTCTCTCACATCCAGGCCTTCAGCCATGCTATTCCTTCTGCCTGAAAGAAACACTCTTCCATTTCCATTCTCTCCTATCCTTCCTGCAGGACTAGGCAGGTGTCACTTCCTCCAGGCTACCTTCCTCCACCTCCACCTCAGCTAGGGTAGGCGTCCTTCCCATTGCACCCTGTACCAAATCTAACACACCTTATTGTAACCGTCACTTTATTTCTCTATGCCCCCTGCTCCCAAAGAATGGGGCTAGTGTCCCCTCATCCACCAGCAGATCAGAGACAGTCAAACATTTGTTGAATAGATTCTGAGTTTACGTACTGAACATAACATGAATGTAGCCCATGCAGTAAGGGAAAGTCAGTTATTAAATAACGGAGACTAGGCGGCAACTTCATTATACTTTGGTATAAAATTCAAACTACACAGGTGCCTACAAACACGTTTAGGAAAGGTTAAAACATTACATATTAAAAAGAACATTTTTCATCAGAAAAAATATTAGTTTTGTGCTCACTACTCCTGTTAAGCAAACTGCAGTTCATTAAAAGTGCCAGATTGAAAGTATCAAAAAAGATGCCCTGGTTGCTTATAGATCAAGTATGGCATCAGGGTAACTATTCCTCTCTGCTACTACCAAACTCTCTCAGCATTACTCAGAACTCTGCTGACTACAGATAAAAGGCTATTCCATGTCCTTAGTTTCCAAGTCTTGCTATAAGTCTTTCAATAAGAATTCCACTCATAACGGTCCCAAGGACACAAACATGTTGCCAGGAAACAGACCTCTGATACATCCTGGGCAATAGTCGCCATTGGCAGCTACTTTCTTTGAGCCACATGTCTTCTTACAATGAGTTACAATCTGAGGCTTGTGACACAAGATTTTTCCAGGGCAGCAGACTGATGTCATAAACATGATGATACTAAGCACTCTAAAGAGCTCACTAGCTCCACCCTAAAGTCCCTGTGTGCAAGGGGCAAGTTATCCACCCTCCCTAAGCCTCAGTTTCCCCACCTACAAATAAAGAGATAATGGTTCCTACCTCACAAAGATTCCTATGGGAATTAGACTGTCCATGAAAGTACTTAGCAGACAACACAACTATTATTTCCAAATCAAAAAGGGAAAACTATAAAACCTAAAATATTTTCACATCTTCAGAACTTTTGGTAATGCCATAACTTATATTTGACTAATGTCCTTCTGGGAATTTTTTTGAGAAAGAAAAGGCAGAAAGATGAGTAAATGGTAATCTATTTCTTTGTCATAACCTTTGGATTTGACAATTTCGACAGAAACCTAGACTAAGATCCACTTTCTAATCTTTCTCTGTACTCCCAAAAGTCCTTGCCTTAATTTGTACCCTAACCATTCCTAGATCGGGGAGATAGCCAAGAGAAAATACTTCAACACATCTTCCCAAGATGTCCTCACGAGAAATAGCATCTCCTTACTGCCTCTATGCACCTCCAAATATACTAAGTGTTCGAGAAATAAAACAAAAAAAAGCCTCAATCACAAAAATTAGCCTTCACAGTCTCCAGTTTCCTTACAAGACAACTAGAGTCATAAGGCATGATGGAGGCACCTGTTAAGTAAGAGGGATGGCAATCCATGAAACTCAAAAGTGTTACAAGGAGAATTTATAACTATAGGTGAAAAGTTGATTTTCCACCTCATATTTTTTCACTCGAACACAGGACGGCCAAGTAATAATATATGCTAGCCAATCTGAATATTTTTTTCATTTAAAAAAAAAATGGGGGGAAGGGAATTTAAGCCTATTGAGCAAATTGGCTCTCACGTCCCCAAGCCAGGCTGACTTAATTTTTTTTGTTTTTTGGTGTTTTATTGACAAGGAAATTTTACGGATCTTCTGAAACGTGTTTTAAATAAAGGTGAGAGCTCAACAGTTTCATAACTTTAGCCCAGCCTGAGTTCTGGGCTCGATTGTTAAAAATGGGTGACGTGTGAACAGCTTCCTAAAAGCAAATGGGGCACTGGGATATAATTTAGGAAGTGATGATGCAAGTCTCCGGGGGACAGGGAGGAGGGGAGGTGAAAAAGTCAGAGGAAATACCCTGCGGGTGCCTGAGCACCAACTCATCCCAAGGGGGGAGGAAGGGCTGGCCTCCACACGCCCAGGGAAGGGGGCACCCAGCTCCACCCGGAGGTGCCAACGCCGCCCCCTCCTCCCTCCCCGCTGCCCTGCCCCCCTCCCCCGTGGCCCAGGCGGCCCCTGCTGGCCCAGCCTCAGGCAGGCGAGTGCCAGAGGGTGGCAGCGCACCCCGGGCAGGGCCTTCTCTGCCCACCTCAGCTTCCCAACCGGCGCCCCTCCCCGGGACGCGGCCCCTGCCCCCTCCCCGTAGGCCCGGCTTGGGCCCAGCCCCCAGGGTTCCGGCCTCTCCGGGCCCCGAGGCCTGCCGGGCAGCCGCGGCGCCCGCGCCCCCGGCCCCCGCCCCCACCCGGCCGGGCACTTACCCCCAGAAGCCGCAGGGACAGCGAGGCGGCAGGCTGGGCGCTTTGCTGCGCTCGCTCCCGGCGTCTCCCATGGTGCTCGGCGGCGGCGGAGCTCGGCGGCGGCAGTGGTGGCGGCGGCTGGGCCTGGGCCCCGCTCGGAGGAGGAGGCGGCGGCGGCGGCGGCGGCGGCGGGGGGCTCGGGGCGGGGGGAGGGGGAGGGAGCGGGCGCGCGGGCGGGCGCGAGTCCGGGGCTCCGAGCCGGGATTCCAGGCCGGTCAGCTGGAGGCGGGCCGCACCACTCGGCCTGAGGAGACGGGGGGGCCGGGGGAGGCGCGGCGAGGAGAGGGAGGGGAGCTGAGGAGGAGGGGCGTGCGGGTGAACCGAGGACCGCGGGGGAGGAGAGAAGACCCAGCGCCCTCCGCAGCTCCCACTGCCGCCCCGGCCAGAGTGATGTCCCGTGCGGCGGTGCTGGGAAGGACCTGCGGCCCCCGCCGGCTCTGGCGCAGCAGCGGCCGCTGTGAAGCCCGGGGCCCCGCTCGCTCCGTAACACCCTCCCCTCCCCCGGAGGCTGCGCTGACCGGACAATGGCCGCTCCGCCCCCTCCCTGCTCACGCACCCCTCCCAAGGAGTCACAATGGTCTCGCCCGGGGGAGCCGCCGCCAAAGCCCAGCAGCTGATCAGCTGGGATCCGGGCGTGCCACTTTGTTCAGCGCTTCAAAGGCGGAGTGCGGGGCTGTGGGCAAAGCCGAGAGGGTCGGGCTTTCCCTCGGCGACGCGCCTCTGAGGCTTTCGTATTCTTGGAACTTTTAAGATCTGACACAAACTTATCTTCCTCCCGTCTGAAGAAGGGGAGCAGGGTTCTGGGTATTCTTGGGCGCGTTGCCTCCCCCCACACGCTAATGGTACGCCCCAAGCGGGAGGGGGAGGAGCTGATTAGTTGTTTAGGGTAAGTTGGGCCAGTCCCAGAGCGGCGGCCGAGCGCTGCGCATGCGCCCGGAGACCCCGTAGCCGGGTACAGGGAGGGGCCAGGAGCGAGCGCTTCCAAACCCGGAAGTGGGTCTCGGTTTTCCCGGGGATCCCGGGGTATTCAGCTGCCGTGGAGGTCTGCAAACCCGCCGCTCTCCGCCCTGGGGGATGCCAGGGAGCGTTTGTCCACAAACTGCCGACCACCTGGAAATCTCTCTTCGCAGTCTCCCCACTCTTCCAGTTCCACGCGGAGAACTGGTCTCTAGGTAGCAATGAGCTGATGGGAAATGTCCCTCCGCTACCCCGACCCAGCAAGGGAGGGGGCGGGAGGGTAGTGTCTCCGTCGGGTTCCGTGCTCCTCCACTATCGGTACCCCCAGCGTCAAAGACGCAAGTCCACTCCCTATGCCTAGGCTAGGAGAACCTCAATTTCTAGACTGGACATGTTTGGTTTTTAGAGGGAGTTATGGCCAAATCAGTGATAGAAATTGATAAGTGACCAAGTAAGTTTGAGCCACTGAATAATGAGTTCTGGAGCGTTTCTTGTCTTTGATCCTGAACTCAGTCTGAGCTCCAGCCAATCGTGAGCAGAAGGCGATTGTTGATGACTAATTTTAACACGGAGGAAACTTCCTCCAGACCTCCTGGAGAGATGATCCACAGCTGAGGCCTTCTAAGTTCCTGCTACTTCCAGGAAGTCTTCCTGGCTCTTAGAAGTAGCTACTGTGTACCCTCGACCTGCCGGAGATAAGAGAGCCTCAGAGGGTATTACCTAGATTAATTTTATTACCAAATATTACTATTTTATTTCTAGGTATACTATTCTGTTTGTGTATGCTTTGTGGACTTGTTAACGTTGGTGTCGTTTCTTTTGGCCTCCAAAGGGCAAGCATTACGTTTAGCTTAGCATCCTCCTAAAGATGCTGTTGATGATGAAGACAACGATAGCAAAAATCAAGCCATTTAGAGCCAAAGTACCCCCAAATGTGAGTGCTGCTTTATTTTGTGTAATACTTAGTTTCGACTTTGGATTTTCACAAGTCTTCAATAAATATTTCTGTCAAAATTTCAGAGAATGGATGAAGCTGTACAGCACACCTAGCTTTCATTGGACTCATATTGGCCTTAAATCTTCATAAAATTGCCATATTCGTGAAAGACTTACAGCCTTTGAGCTTAACAAACTGAGATTAAGTGGGACTCTCTGTTGGCATCTTGATGATTTTCTTTTATATATGGAAAAGGTAACCCTAAAACCAAAAGGAAATTTAGCTGCTTGCCTACCTGTCTGTTTGCCGGTTTTTCAATTTAACGAGCATTTATCAAGACCCTTATCCTCACTTCAAGAAGCAGCAGGGATTAATTAGTATCTATGAATCCCAAATCCCAGCAGAAAGAACCTTATTGGTCTAGCTTATGTCAGGTTGTCTATTCTTGGTATAGTCACCTTTAGCCAGTGGAGCAGTATGTAGTCAGGGCTCTTTGTTTTGTAATGTAAACATGGCTGTCAGAGGCCCATCCTTGTAGCCTGCAGTTCTCAAAGAAGGTTGGTTATGTTCTTGGCAAAGTTTCCAAAAGGTATATACCACCGACCAAAAAAGGAGTAAATTACAGCCTGAAATTCAAAAGTGTAAAGAACAATGGACGTGATCAAGAATTTTCCAACAAACTCCCACTTAAACTATTTCAGGCCTAAATTTCAATGGCATTCCCTCAAAGAAGCCATCGCTGATCCTCAGCCGCAATTAAAATTATGTTGCCCCATTTTTATCTTCTGTGGTACCTTTTTCCTTTGCAGCACCCATTACAGTTTATAATTGAATATTTATTTATGTGTCTCCTCTCCAAAGATCATGTTTGTTTTGTTCACTGCTATATGCACAACGCACAGGGCACATATGGTAAGGTATTCAATAAATATTTGTTGAATGAATAAAAGGCACAATAATTTTTTAATCCATGTGAAACCCGTATATGAATTGGCATCTTAATCACACTGTCCTGAAGGAATGTCTCTATCACCACCCACCTTCCCTAGAAGACACTGAAACTCACTGCAAGATTTTTCATCACACAGTAGTTATATGAAATGAGACCCAATGTACATCTGCTTCCTTTTATGATGTTCCTGGCCGGCTGACTCCTCACTCTTAGTTCCCAAGGTTTCTTTCTGAAGAGCCCTTGAACCAATTTCTATAATATGCCCACTTGGTTGGCCAAAAGCTCAGAGAGGACATAAAATTTCAGGGCATCATCAAATTAGGGGACCAAAGTGCGGGGGTAATTGGCAGAAGTGCTTTTGTCATAATTGTCTTGACTCTTTTCCTAGTGTGGATTATGTTCCAGATGAACCTGTGATGTGACTCCTGGGGGCAGTTTGCAATCACCATTGGCCCAAAAGGAGCCATCTACGAGCTCAGTAGGGTCTAGTAAAGGATGATATTAATGCTTCAGCAGCCAGCACTCTTGAAGTTGCAACTGAGGCTGTAAGGGAAAGATCCTGGTGTGACTAAGGGCAGGGGCGCGCAGGCACTGCTTTCCTGGTAATACTGAGTCCAAAGAACTTGGCCATGGAAGACACAACCAAAAAGTAGGAGCTTGTAGAGACTCAGAGAAAGCAGATGGTCCTCCAACTTTGATTCTAATCCTTACCTCACGACTCTAACTCCCAGTTCAAACCCTTTCATCATCATAATTCATTCTCCCTGGTATTAGCCCCATTGTCCAATCCAAACTCTAGCCTCAGTGTTAATCCTAATCCTAATATTATCTGTAAAATTTGATCCTAGATTTCAAACCTAATCCCAACCCTAATTCCAGGAGCTTAACAAAGGCACCTTGCCTTGCCACTGAGTTATTTTCCCCAGCTCTTCTTTCTTGTGTCTCTCTCTTTTTTTTTTTTTTTTTTAGGAAGATTAGCCCTGAGCTAACTACTACCAGTCCTCCTCTTTTTTTTTTTTTGCTGAGGAAGCCTGGCCCTGAGCTAACATGCGTGCCCACCTTCCTCTACTTTATATGTGGGACGCCTACCACGGCATGGCATGTTAAGCGGTGCCATGTCCACACCCGGGATCTGAACCGGTAAACCCCGGGCCGCCAAGAAGTGGACTGTGCAAACTTAACCACTGTGCCACTGGGCCAGCCCCTCTTGTGTCTCTCTTAACCCTGACCCACTCCTGAGAATAGAGAACCCTATACTATAACACCCTGGCCCTTTCCAGTTTCAATAGTCCTACAGAAGTAAAGAGCCTTGGGCTGCCAGGAAAGAAAAAATGGAACATCTCACCTGCACAGGACACAGAGACCCTGCCTAGTCACAACATGTCGTCTTGCCTAATTCAGGAGCTGCTAAGCCTCTCAAAGACCAGAAAAGATACAATCTAAGTCACCTGTATAGACTCAGAGCAGAAGACCGGAGACCCTTCTGCAAAATGATTGGGTTAGATTAGATGAGTGGCTTTTAAACCATGTTCTTGGAGCAAGAATTCTGGTTTCTGATTTTCTTCCTCACTTGGGTTTGGTTTTCCAAAGGAAAAAAGAAAACGTTTTTTTTTTAAAGTCACTGAACCGGGCCCTCTCTAAGGTTCCTTCTGGACCTCGAGTTTTCTGATGTGCACTTGATTGTTCTAGGCACTTACAGTCCAGTTGGCACGGATAAACTTTCAGAGCCAAGGGAAAAGAAGAGCAACCAAGCATACCGTCTCCAGCCCTTCTCAGGAAACTAAAAATAAATTAAATAAAATGAATAGTGTGATGGAGAGAGAGGGGAGGAGAGGAGAAAATGCTGCCATTTCACGTCCCATGTTCTCACGTTCATGAAGCGATTGCTGATTTCCTGCTGCTCACACCCATCTTGGTGTAAAATTTGATTTTACTGACTTTTAAATTTCTTTTCAAGAGTGGAAATATCATTTTTCCCAGAAATACTTGACCTTTGTGGGGGAAAAAATTCACATAATGAGAAAGCTAAAGTCCTCCCTAATACCAGCCCCCAGAGATACCCTTTGTTAGCGATTTGGTATGTAGCCCTCCAAGCTTTTCATTTATATATGGTTATATAAATGGGGTCATTCAGCACATAGATACTCTAGCTGATTATTTTTAACTTAGAAATATGTCATGAACATCTTCCATATCTATGCATATAGCTTTGCAGTATTGTCTTATAGCTAAACATATTAGTCAGGGTTCTCCGGAGATATATACGAAATATATATACACATATGTGTGTGTGTATATATATATATACATATATATATATATATATGTATATATATATATTATTGGTTAGGGTACATACAAAACCATACATATAAAGTATCATGGCCTTTTGATCTACCGAAGTCTTTAACAGGTTGGATGAGGCCTGCCCACAGTGGGAAGGGCAATCAGCTCTACTCAGTCTACTGATTCAAATGTTAATCTCAGATACACCCAGAATGTCCAACCAGATATCTGGGCATGTCATGGCCCAGTCAAGCTGACACGTAAAATTAGCCATCACACTAAAATCATGGGCTCCAAAGTCAAGCTGCTAGAGTTCAAATGAGGCTTCTACCACCTCCTAGCTTGGAGACTTCGGGGAAGATGCTTAGCCTGTCTGTCAGATTCCCCATCTGTTACAGGAGACATCTGTAACGGGCTGTGCCCAGTTTCTCTTTGGTGGTCCTGCGTCTCCTTCTCCCAGGCCTTCTCAAAGATGCACACACTAACTAGGTTTAGTCAGGGAGCCCAATCCTCTGACCACAAGAATTCAGATTGCCTGAGGGAGAGCCAGCGCCTCCCTGGGCTACCTTAGTATCTTTGCTTTCTAAGATCAAATGTCCTTAGGACCATGTAAGCCCAGAGCTACTGAGAGACCTGCCATGTGGAGCAAGGATACCTGAGGATTGAGCCAATATAGAGGAAAGAAGAGAGATGGAAAGAGAGAAAGATTAAATCATCAAGACATTGTTTGAGTCCTTGAATCCAACTAAGTCTGAACCAGGACCACCTCTGGACTTTTCAGTTACATGAACCAATAAATTCCTTTTTTTTTTTTTTTTTTTTGTCTAAGCTAATTTGAGTTGTTTCAGTATGTTTCAATGAGAAAAGTCCTGACTATGCATAATAGTATCTACCTATGTCATAGGTTTAGTGTGAGGATTAAATTATAAAATCCATAAGGAACTCTTAGCCTAGTACATAGCATATACTACAGGCTCAGTAAACACTATTATTATTCATTTCTTTTTTAACGGCTGCTGATCACTCTACTGTACAGGTGAATCATTGAATGAAGCCCCTCTTGATTCATGTGTTCTATCATTCATTTGTTTATTCATTCAGCAGACACTTTTTGAGCACCTATTATGTGTTAGGCACTCTTTTAGGCATTAAGGATGCAGTGGTGAGTGAGACAGATAAGCTTCCTTACTCTAGCTGTGCTTATTCTCTAGAAGTGGAGGCAGGCAATTAAAATTTTTTTAATGTCTTGAAGGACAGTTAGGTCCAGCTTTCCACTTTTATAAAATATTTTACAATGAACATTTGCCTGTTTGTACTATTAATGTCTTGGAGAAACTTTTTAGAAAAAGAACTGCAATACCATTTCACATTTGCTATATATAGCCAAAGTTCCCTCCAGAAAGGTTGTACCAATTTACACTCCCTCCAACAGTGAGTGAGAAGGCAGAATTCCCCGCACCTCAGTAGCCTTGGGATATCATTACTCTTTTTAATTGTTGCCAATGTAGAAAAATGACACCTAATGGATATTTTAATTTGCATTTTTTGGTTATTAATGAGGTCCAGATTATTTTTGTATCATATATATATGCCATTTGAATTTGGATTTATTTTTGTGTGCATTATCTGTTTGCATCATCTGTTTAGATCCTTTGTCCATTTTTCTACAAGGATTTTTTTTCTTATGTAGTTTAAGATATTGATATTAAGAGTATTAACCTTTCATCATATGTGCTGCAAATGATTTCTCTGTTGTTTGTCTCTTAACTATATCGAGGCTTTTGATTTTCAAGAATCTAAAATGCAGGGGAACTGTGAGAATTGACCTTGGCTAATGTTTGAATCGCCAACATGGGCAGCTTTTTTCTTAAGGCTTCTTGTTGCCACTTACAGGAGAAAAAAGGAAAAGAGAGAATTAAAGGGAAAAAGACAGGAAATAGCAGAAGATGGGGGCCAAGCACTGAGGGGAATCCCATCCCCTCGGCCTGCCCAACCCTGCCTCATCTTGGGCAGGCTCAGCTCTGAGGCAAATGGCCAAGCCCTCTATGGGTCAGCCCAGGCCCTTGGGCTTGGTGCCAGCCCTGAGCTCCCTGGGGTGAATCATCCAGGACATACATCTCAGCCTTCCCATTTCCTGTCCAGAGGTGGAAAAGCAGCCAGGAGCTGTGGCCCTATAGCTCTGTCAGCCCCCAGGAAGGAGTCTAAAGTTTCCCATCAAGTCCCTTGTTAAAGTTTGCAGAGGTAATTTCTAGGAGTGAACGGCACCTTGTGTGGCCAGGCTGGGCTTCAAGAACTGACCCAATAAGGAGAAGCAAGGGTATTTGAGGAAGGGATAGTGGTTGGGAAAAAAGTGTTTGAATTCATTGTTAGGATGAAATTAGGGAGGCAGCCAGAGTGGGAGGGCTTGGACTGGGGAGTCAGAGACAGGCGTTTAGAATGTCAAGCAGACTAGTGGCTCAGGGAAGTGGTTATGACTGGGGAAGAGGCTTCCATGTCCAGGCTGGGGTTGGAAGGCTAACGCTAGTGTCTTAGTGTGGATCCTCCACCAGACGCTGACCCTGCAACAAGAACTGGAAGGTGCAGAGGACACTTCTAGGGATGGCAAGGTAACCATCAAAGGGCGTGTCATCAAACCAGCTATCGCTGGGAGTGACTAGAGTTCAGGGACTAGTCCTGCAAGGACTGTGCACAATCACACCTTGAAGTTATCCCAGGTGAGGGCTGGGGGACTGGGTATTTACATCCACTTCTGTTCATAGTTGGCAGCTGCTCACAGCATTTCAGCCTGCCTTGTGCTGGCTGAGCAACCTTCCCTCTTTCAGAGAAAGCCCTCAGGCAGAGAGGTACAGGAACTGTACATTGGAAATTAGCGGGATGACTGAAGTGGGAAGTCCCAAGGGATATGGATGGGGCACCTGCAGTGTCTGCTATAGCTGGGGATAGTGTGTGTATATAGATTTGGGGAGTGTAATATCTCGTAAAATGATCCAGGGGTTTCTTCCTAAGGCTATGTTGCCTTCTGATTAGGAGTCAGGGAGCAGAGGTAAGGTTACAATTGGGACTAGAGAATTAGGGTTCTATTAGAGGCAATCAGAGAGGCTATTCATTCTGCCCAAAGTTACACAGCTAGAAGGTGGTGAGCTGGGGCAGGATGCAGCCTGGTCTGTGTTGCTTCAAAGCCTGTCAAGAGGACAGAGTGCAGGATGGCCTCATGAAGGGAGGGAGGCATCCACAAGATCCTTGCCTCCTGGGCTTCTTCCCAGCAGCCACGGAGTGGGGCTAGGAAGAGGCTGTGCAGCTGCCATCTGTTCTCTTGGCTCCACTGCCTGGCAACTGCCCGCCCATGTCTGCTCTCTGCTCCGGAGGAGGATGCATTCCTCCACGGCCCATCGGGCAGGACGAGGAGCTGTGTCCTCGCCAGGGCTGCACCACATGATGGATTCAATGATTATGACTTTCTGATGTGGGGGCTGCTCAGTGATGTAGCAGACCCAATCCCATCTGGTGTATCTTTCTTGAAAGAGCTGCTGGAAGGAGAAAATCTGCATACTGCTTATGCAGTAGGAGTGTGTGCGTGTGCACAAAGGTATAGGTGTGAACACGGTTGTGAATCTGGATGTGTGCGTGCACACACACAGGTGTGGATGTGAACACTGGCAGTCCAAAAC